CATCTCCCAGCCTGGATTGGTAACCAGGATCGCCCCTACTCAGGTGCAGGACCCTGCCCTTGACCTTGTTGTCCCTCCTGAGATTCCTCTGGGCCCACTTCTGCAGCTTGTCCAGGTCCCTCTGGATGGATCCCTTCCCTCTGGCACGTTGACCTCACCACCCAGCTCGGTGCCATCAGTGAACTTGCTCAGTGGATGCTCAATCTCACTGTCATAGGGATCTGTGAAGGTCCAGCTTTCCAATGCCAACTGCATCCCCACCCACCCAATACCATTTGTCCATGCCAAGCACTGAACCCATCCTCCAAAACCCCCATGCAAGCCCTGAGAGCGGGGAGCAGGCAGGACCTGGCAGCATCGTGGGCCTCCTGCATTTGCAAGCGCTGCCTTAGCAGCAATCTGATTTCAGGCGTAATAGCGCCTTCCGTTCCCTTGCAAATAACTTCCTTATCTACCACCAGCATATTTTCGTGTGAAACTTTAATCAGAAAACTCAAAAGAAAAAAAAATCCCGAATGCAGAGAAAAGCACCTTGCAGCTATTTTCACATTCGATGTGCTGCGTTTCCTACCCTTCCCGATTAACGCTCCCCTACGTTGGACGCTTCCGAAAAGCAACCGCTGCGGAGTGATTTCCCCACCGTTTAGTTGTTATCTGCCAACACCGACGCCTGTGATGATACACAAACAATTCTTCCTGAGAAATAACCGCAGTTTGTCACTATTTTCCTCAAGGCAGGCGATACAGCGACGTTCACCTGCCCCGGTGGCACGGAGCTGCAGGAAAAGGCATCTTATTCCATCCACTTCTTTTATTTCTCCTTGGGTTTTAAGCCCCATTGCTACCTCTCCTTGCTCTGCATCCGCTATTGCAACCCAAGTGTCCCTGTTGGGGACAGCGTCCCAAACTCCTGATGGCTCAGCAAAATGGGAAACACCAAATTATTACTTTATCCAGCACGGAATATTGGACGTTTTGAGGCTGTTTTATGGTCCCCGTGCAGATCTGCACATTAAAGAGCAAGGAGTCACAGCAGGCACGAAGTGTGCACGTGCAAGGATGCTGGAGCATCACGATGGAGTTGTACCAAAACCCATCTAAAGACAGAGCAGCACACCAGATTACACAGAAATACACAAAAAGAGTGGAAACACCACATAGTTAATGGAAAAGGAAGGAAGAACCATGGCTCAGAGGAGGGAAAATGCAGGAGCTGGCTCTGTTGCCCATCCTCATCTGAAGAATTCCCCTCTGGAAACCTTTCCACCAAGCACAAATGAGTGATGGCCAGCACCACAGGGTGATTTCCTCTCGCTTTCCCTCTTCAGATCCACCTCGGTCTTTCTGTCCAGCTTCTTTCTGCCCTCATTCTTTTGCCTTCGCAGTCAATAGCGTTAAATCACAGTAAATTAAAAACCTGGGCCCAAAGCACTCGAGAGCAAAGCACTTTTGACATGAGCTACTGGTTTCATCAGATAACCAACGAATGCCGCTCCACGGTCTCTCAACACATTTTCTAATTTCTTTTTCAGGCATCTGGATGACTTTAGACCATCATTCATTATCTCAACAAGAAGCTCTTTTTGGGCAATCCTCACGCGAAAGAGTCCAAAGTAACTTACTCTCGATCTCACCGAGAAGCAACGTCGTGATCCAGTGATTAAACCGGAATGCTCCGAGTACATTTATGTATTTTCTCAGGCCAACGCAGCCTCAATTTATTCATTCCTGCACTTCAAATCATCTCCAGGCGAAATGAGCCTACGAATATCAGCGGTATTTAATCTCACAGATAATGGTCTGAAATCAAGTGTCAGAGATGCACCTTTTCATTTGTAGCTGTCTGCTGTAATTTCACATCTCAGCTACCACAACTCCCTCTTCCCTATGTAAGGCAGTCGTGTCCCTCTCTGATCTTCCCAAATTTGGCTGCTGGGAGGTTCTCCATGGCCTCAAACAGCACCAACGTGCTCTTGCTTTCTTCATGCTCCAGCTACTGACTCTCATCTTCATCCAAAAGGTTGATGCTGCTTCCAGGAAATACACTAAATGAATTTCCAAGTATTTTCTACTGGATTGTCTCCATAGTTGGAAGGAGCAACTCAAAATCTTCAATGTTTCCTCATCAATCACCTTCACTTATTTATTCTGGGATGCCTACAAATCACCCACACTCATTTCATAGAAGTACTGATACTACTTTGATCCCAAACAATGTTATTTTGGTTGCACCTTTTCCACCACTGCATCTAATGATATCACTCCACATAAATATATTCCATGAAAGCTCTTCGGAGCAAGAAGCACTGTCCTGCTTTGAGCTCAACAGAACTGATTTTCTATTCAGTGATTTCACTTTCCAGCTCAGTCTCTTCTCAGTGCCTGAACTTGCTGAAACCAGCAGCATGGTTTAACAACAGTGGGCACTGCTACAAGTGATAGTGCTGGGATGCTGTGGAAACATGGCAAGGCCACGGTCTCACCATGGGGGCCGTGTCTGCACCCACAGGAGGAGCAGACCCAAACCTGCCCAACCAGGGATTGCATCCCACACACGCCACACTCAGTGGAAAGCCCAGGGATCACCAGGGGCTCCACCCTTCCAGCTTGGACCCTTCCTTCCCTCTCCACCCCTGCAATGGCCCAAGGCCCAGCAGACCCTGCTGCTTCACCTGCCTCTCATCCTCAGCCCTGTGTTCCTGCATCAGCTCCCACTGCTGCTGGGGCCGCACTGGGACTTTTCCAGTGCTCCCAGAGCCTCTGGTGCCATCATCGTCATTGGGGGAGGATTTTAGATTGGTTTTGTATCTATATTTGTACATAACTGTACACATTTCATTATTTTCCTATTTACATTATTATCCTGTAGTATCAGTATCATTGTTTCATTAAACCTGTTAGTTCTCTTTTCCAACCCATAAAGTCTCTCTCCCTTCTTCTCTTTTCTCTTCCCTTCTGGGGATGGGAGAGGGGTTCACAGAGAGCGTCTGGCCAGGGTTTAGTGGCCAACCCCGCCCCCAACCCTGGCAAGCCACCACAGCTCATGTCCCGCTCATGGGGACCACCTTCCCTTACACCTGCATATCCCCTATCACAGCCCGATCTTGGTTTACAACTTGTCTCCCCATGCCACAACACTACAGATTTCACAGTAATTCAGAATAATACTGCAAGGTTCAAGGGCAAAACCCCAAACCATACAGATTTATTTCTCAGTATTACCTTACTGGTCATTCAAGAAATGTTATTTCTTCCCCCCTCTATTTTAACTGGATCTTGCACAACGGAAAATATTTCTTTGTGCCAAAGAGTCCTGAATCGCTTTACAAACTTCAAATGCAATTTTAACAGGGATCACCTAATCCTGCACTGAAATCCAGCCAACTCCTCCACGAAATACGGGAGGATTTTTATAAAGCAGACAACTATAACAATAAATGCACAACACGCTAACCAAATGTAATAGAAGGTGGAACTGAAATAAGCAGAAATTTGTTCAAGACATCGGGATTAGCACCGTTTCTTTTCACAACAGGACCATCAAACACCAAAACGCACACATTTTTCACCGCAGTCATTTAAAGTTTACAAAGGAGGGTGAAAAATCATCTTTATCTTGCGCAACGAAAGTCAAAGCATTTCATCAAGCAGCTCCTGTATCTTTGATTTGAAGAAACGAGGATTGCGCTTTGCTTGCAGGAAAGAGGGGAAAAAAATGTATTATCAGGATGTAATTTCAGTCAACAGAGGAATGAGAAAAGAGAGAGAAAAACATCAAAGCCTTCAGCACGGGAAGATTTAAGGCATCACTTACGCTGACACGTTCCTCCGTTAGTCGGATCGCCGTAGTAGCCCGAGATGCAGGTTTCGCAGTGTTTGCCCGTGGTCAGATTTTCACACTTCTCACAGATGCTTTCGTTTACACACTTACTGTGCCCGTTACACTGGCAGGCTGGAGAAAACAGGAAAATATGAGTACTTGTGCTCAAATACAGCATCTCACCAGTCTGCAGAGGCTGAACGAAACCATTGGAAAGAGGTTTTTCCAGTCTTGCTACCAATACATGAACTCAAAGAGGGATGTGTATTGACAACGTGGAATTTAAAGCAGCACATGGAAAACTGTACTCTGAAACATTGTGTATTGGACAGACTGGACTGGAAGCAACAGGTGGGATGGATTTACAGGAGGAATGGGGAAGAAAGGGTTTAGCGACAGTCCAAGTCATTTTATTCTATAAATCTGGCATGAAAAATATTCTGTCAGAAATCACCCTGAGCATTACTAACAGTTACATCAACCTTCAAAGACAGAATTTCCTTTATTTCAGAAGATTCTAAAACAAATAAATGAACAACAGTTAAAAATTAAGTAAAGGTTTGAAGGGAAAGGTAAAATTTCACCAGAGTAATGCCTCAGTAAGTCTGCACACAGCAAACCCAGCAGCTCACCTGCAGGTACCCGACCACCTTATTCACCTCCAAATGTGTTATTTCTTACAGAATCACAGCATGGTTTGGGTTGAAGGGACCTCACAGCCCCCCCAGTCCAACCCCCATGGGCAGGGACACCTCCACCAGCCCAGGCTGCTCCAAGCCCCAGCCAACCTGGCCTTGGGCACTGCCAGGGAGGGGGCACCCACAGCTTCTCTGGGCAACCTGGGCCAGGGCCTCACCACCTCACAGCCAGGAATTTCTTCCTCATATCCAGTCTAAATCTCCCCTCTTCCAGTTAAAAGCATTAAACCTCATCCATCACTCCATGCCCTTATAAAAAGTCCCTCCCCAGCTTTCCTGTAGGAACTGTTGGCCTTGTTTCTATTCCAAGCCCTTTTCCTCCCTGCACCACCAGAAGCGAACACAGACACCACTACAGCCTTCAAAACCCTGTCCTTTTGTATTTAACTGTTGCTACGGCTGAAATATTTGATCCATTCAACATCACTCATTCACCTGGACACTGGATGAAGGACCAGTTGTAGCTGTTCTCCGCAGGACACATGCTGATGTTCAGGACGGGCTCCAGGTCGTGTTTCCCTGGTGCGGATGGGGTCGGCATCTTGACCGGACCCCGGTAAGAGCCCTCGATGCATTTCCCCTTGCCGGTGTTGCTGGGATCGGTGCACCAGCCACAACCGGGCTGCTCCAAACAGTGAGCACATGTGCAGTAGCCTGAACAGTTTTCAGCTATAAAAGAACAAAAAAAAACCCAGATAAAACTACAATAAGATCAAACTGTGGAATAAATCGCTGTCCCTAAACACAGGCGACAACGAACGCAGAAACCCTTGTGTGTCTTTTGTGACCTTAAGTATTTATCTCACCAAATCTGCAAGTATTTATTCTGCTATCCACAGTAACAGGTATATATATCAATTCCTATCAGTATATTTATTCTAGAATCCATGACGACTATTAACACAAAGGTTGGATTTATCAGCGAGCGAGTTACGAAACAACGCAGAGCACGTGTAAAGTTTTTCTAAATGTTAAACACCGCCCACGAAAACCAGGTTAATGTTCCCAGCTATGAAAGATCTGTGACTGCTTTACAACAGTGCCCACTACAACCAGGTTAATGTTCCCGGCTATGAAAGATCTGTGACTGCTTTACAACAGATCACTTTATAAAATGAGCCATCCTGAAGCAGATGCTAAAAACCAGTCTGTTTACTCGCTCTGAGCCTCTTCTTACCTCGTGTTTCACTATCACACGCTACTTCAAGTATTTATCCGAGCCAAAAAGCACAGAATAGAAATAAAGAATTGACTTTGTGTTTTGGGGATGCTCAGAGTGCCCCATGCAGATCCCCTGAGCCCAGTAATCAACTAAATCAAGGAGAAATCATCATCATCCTAGAACTGTTGCTTTCTCAAATGGGATTTATTGTATTTCAGGGGTGACAAACTCTTTATATCTAGGAGAGATTTTCTAGTTCTTTCCCAGTATCATCTTAAAAAAACAGTTCATAGGTTCTTGGTGTTCAAAGACGAGCAGGTTTTCTATCTTGATGTTTAAATTGACACTACCTGCCTTTTTTAAAAAAGAAAAGTAGTAGAAAAAACATTATTTTCTATTATTTCAGCTTACTCATCTCCTGCCTGATGCTTCCTCCAGTTTTTGACCTCTGCAACATGGGAAGTTCACGTTCTCACGTTTGACAGTTCCCTAAAACTAATTTTCTCCATTATTTTGCAGCAGTGAGTACCCAGTTTATTCTCATCCATTTCCTAAATTTCCTGGAGCAACTGCAGCGCCTCAAACTGCCCAAATTCCCTCCTCCAACACAGGCAACTCCTCTTCCTCCGCTGCCCTGAGAGCCCTGGCTTCCCTCATCCTCTTGCTCCCACTCAGCTCCTAAAGGATTCAACTTAAGGAGGGGAAAAATACATCATTTACTTAAATTAAGCTAGAAATTCCTACTGTGGGCTATAAACAGACAATACTTAAGCATAAAACAGTCGTGTAAACCCTAATTGGGATTTGATGCAGATAATCTAATATTAAATTACATGGCTCCGCGTATGAATGAGAGAGATGCAAAAAAAGAAGTTAATCACATGAAATCACGTAACAATTAATTTGAAGGGTAAGAATTCAAAGAATTAAACAAGTACTTCCCCATCTGAAAATAAAATGGGAGATTTCATCACCTCACTTGAAAGCCTTTCCTATCTGCCATTCGGTTTCATTAATACCAGGACCTAACTCTGTTTAAGGCTTTACCTGACACAGGATGGAGCTGCATCCACCCAGCTCCTGGGGTCAAGAAATTCTTATATTTTAAAGAATCCCTTGGATGCCATGACCGATATGAAGAGTCTGATGCCTTCAGCTAGCAAAGATGAGCAAACAGAAGCCCCTAAAACCACAAAAGCCATTACTCACGCGGACAACTGCTCATGGTGTACCACTCCATGCACTGCCCGTAGGGGAAGGAGGCCACATAGGCGTTGGAGTCCACGCACTGCTTCATGTTGCTGCACCACATGCACTCGGAGCTGCCGCTCGTGCACTCCCCGCACAGTGTCCGCAGGGCGCAGGGCGTGCGGCACTGCTTGGCGCTGTGGTTGGCTGCGGGCGGGAGGGCGAGAGTCAGCTTTTGGCCCAAAAAGTACAGATAACAAGTGCCCAGATAGGAAGATTTAAGATAAAAACCCCTGTCTGTCCCTGGGCTGTCCCAGCACTGGTGTGGGCAGCAGGAGCAGGGCAGGGATCATCCCCTGTGCTGGGCTCTGCTGAGGCCGCCCCTTGAGTCCTGGGGTCAGTTTTGGGCCCCTCACTCCCAGAAGGACATTGAGGGGCTGGAGCGTGGCCAGAGAAGGGAAACGGAGCTGGGGAGGGGTCTGGAGCAGCCGAATGATGGGGAGCGACGTGGGGGGTTCAAGAGGAGAAGAGGAGGTGAGGGGAGACCTTATCCCCTCTGCAGCTCCTGAAAGGAGGGGGTAGCAAGGGGGGGGTCGGTCTCTGCTCCCCAGGAACAAGTGATGGGACGAGAGGAAATGGCCTCAAGTTGTGCCAGGGGAGGGTTAGATTGGATATGGGGGGAATTTCTTTAATATAAGGGTTGTCAAGCACTGGCAGGGGCTGCCCAGGGCAGTGGTGGAGTCCCCATCCCTGGAGGGGTTCAAGAAGCGCCTGGATGTGGCACTTGGGGCCATGGTTTAGTGGCCATGGTGGGGTTGGGTTGAGGTTGGACTGGGTGATCTTAGAGGTCTCTTCCAATCTCAGTGACTCTGTGATTATGTATCCTTCATGACTATTAATGCTTTTTTCACCTTAAAAAAAATTCAATAGTGTTATGAATGTGCTCCCTGTCTCTCTGCAGCTCTGCTGATGTGCCATAGCTATTCTCCCAACCAAAGTGTTGAGAAGCAACCCCGTGTTTTATACGAGCACACTGGGACGTATTTTAAGTTATTTGATCAGTTCCACACATAAAATGAGTCCTGAAAGCAGAACTAACTCGGGAGTTTCTGGTGTGAGCCAGTGCTTTATCATCTGTTTCAAGTGCCTGTTCTCAGACCGTAAAAAACAAGTTAAAGCTTAAACCAATTCAAAGTGCCGCGAGTTAAAATATACAAAATGTTGAGTTCGGGCTCCACTCTCATGATCTGTAGCCTGCGCTTCCACAAAGAATGATTTGAAGTGGTGCAGCTTACTTCGACATTTTACATAATCAACCAACTTTCTTAAAGAGGCACTAATTGGTATTCAGAAATAATCAGCTATAATGGAGAGTTAACAGACCAAACCATTTCAAAAGATACGCTGTTCCAACAAAGCTGGAAGACTTTTCCCAAAAGCAAATAGCTTCTTTTTCAAAGTTCTCCTATCTCCAAAGTGTCTTGCCCAATTAATTTCAAACCTTGATAAAATCCTCCTCTGGCGACAGAGCAGGGGAGGAGAGAAAGGGGAATTCAGTTGGAAAGTAGCTTTTATTTTTTAATATACATATATTTTTTTTAAACAGGAGATTGCTCCGTACCATTATTAACCTAAATGTCACATTCAGGTATGCAATTTAGAGGGAAAATAATTAAACCATAATGCACTGCGAGCATTTTACAGTCAACAGCGTAAACGCAGAGCTATTTCTAAAATCCCCAATTCCTGCCTCAAATAATCCCCTTTTTCAGAGCCATTTCTCTTTGGCCAAGTCCCGATGCAGCCAGTTTTAGGTGTAACGAATGGGATCCTCTTTACTCTCTAGGAAACAGGAGTATTTATTAAATCACCCACGTTGGGTACGGTTACCTGGCCTTTCGCAGACGCTGCCGTTGACTTCGTTGATGCACGTCGCTGCCTTCAGCCCCTGCGGGGAAGGCTCGGCTAAATAACCACAAAATCCGGCGTCGCTGGGTTCGTCGGGGAGCCACTGGAGCAGGGTGTTGGTGAAGGGGGACATGTCCTCCCAGCACCAATAGGATATGTTGATTTTCCTCAGCCCGACCCATGGGGTTAAAGTTTTGGGCTAGAAATGAAGGGAGATGGTAGATTTAATATCCAATTTTATTATCTTAGGTATTAAAATAAAATACACATCACCGTATGTTGTTGTTTAGACGGTTGTTCTGTCACCCTATGACTCCTGCCCACCTAAAGAGGGGAATTGGGAAAAGGAAAGGAGACCCGTGGGTTGAAATAGAAACAGGTTCAATAAAATATTAATAAGAAAAATAACCAGTATTAATAACAGCATTAATCTAAAGTACACAGAGTTTTACTCAGCCAATATAATGTTCATGAGTTGTGATGGTAATAAGCAGGGGATTGGGGCTTGGAGCAAACCAATAGGCAAGACCTTCCTGGGATGGCAGTCATCGAAGAAATGAGGGCCGTCCCCATTCTATCTCTGTCTCAGAGACAGAAAAATCCTTCAGGAAGCACCAATTATTTTCTTTTTCCAACTACATTTCTAGTTATCGAAACCAGGAGGAGACCACGTCAAACCTTCACACTGGCTGACTACGAAATTACCTGCAGGTTGCTCTTCATATGTCTGGGACTCCTACAAATGGCCAGACACTGGGAAAAAGAATTTCTGGAGCTATAGTTTGACGTGAGGAAGAAAACCAGCGGTTCCCTATGTAATTTAAGTGATAAAATCTACCTAAGGTACAGCCTGGCTAGAAGACCTCTGCTGTTTAAGGGTATGTATATATGGGGGATGGAGAGACAGAAAAGGTCAAATCTAAATTGGTATCGCTGGCAATAAAATCCTCAAGATGAAGAACCCTGTAACACAACTGTTTCTACCAGCAATTTATTTTTTGGGGAGAGGCATTTTCACTGTATCAAGAGAATGTGTTATTTTACTGTGAATATCTTTCCTTCAGCCAAAGGCGGTGGTGGCACCGCTGTCCTAGGAAGGCTTCAGACCGTATGCTTGCCCTTAGCGCCGTATATAAACACCGCCTCCTTCAAACTGAGTTTGGGGACTCTTAAACCATACAGCTGCGTATGGGCCTGGCCTGGCACAGTGTGAGTTCAAGGCCTCAAAGCAGGTGATTCTCAAGGAGCGACCCCCCAGTGGCAGGAATGGCCGTGCTGGAGAGCATGTCCAGGTCTACCCAGGAGAGGGTCGTGTCATGTCCTGCTGTGTGCCCTACCACCTGGTACAGGCAAGGGGCGTGAGGGAAGAGTTTAAATAGCCCCCCTTAAGCCTGAGATGGTGTGATTCACCCACCATCTTCCAGCCTGGACAAGACAAAGAAACTGCTTGTCTAGTCAAAGTGGTGACTATCTCTCACCTTTTCTACT